AGCTGGTAAGTTTGAACCACTGACCTTGCAGTTCAAATGGCTTTGCAGTTTGGCACATTAATCCACAGCACCCCACCAGGACTCCATCGGATGTAGTTATATAGGATAAAAGAGACAGAGAAAATATGAAGTATATTAAAAGAATAAGTACTACTTCTATTTTTCTAGAACCATGGAAGTCATGTAGAAAAGTTGTAGGAAATTAAACTGAAAAGACAGATTAAAGCTAATTTGCTCTAGACCTTGACATGGATGGAGAGGACTTTACTTTTAACTCATTTGGCAGTAAGTTGCCACTAAAAGACACAGAAATGCCATGGTCATAGCTGTACATGTATGAGGTTTTCTTGTTTTGTTTTTTCCCCCCTTTCTTCTGTCTGTACATGGATCTGGGTAGACTTGGATGGAATTTGTGGGAGAACCCCAATTCTAATAGTCTCCTATCTGAGTTAGATTGCTGCAGGAATAACCCTGGGAATCAGTCTGAGCCAAGGTTTTAAGGGAACAGCATACACAGGTCAAAGGCAAAGGGCAGAGCAGGTTGTAATGGGGAAATAGAATCTGGAGTCAGGAAGTAAATGAAAATAGAATGAACACAGGAGCAGGTTGGACACAAGTAGCAAGTGCCTGAGACTCTTCACAGGTCAGTCTATCAGTTAGTCTGTTGGCGGATGTATTGCTGGCCAGGACAAGTTGACCGTCAGGAAGTTTGATCTGGTAACAGTGTGTGGTGTGGCTTCTTTCATGGACTAGCAGTACCTGCAGGCCTGAAATAGGATTGGGATGAGATAATGAAACCTGTAACTAGGGCAGCCCTAGTGAGAACAGAGAAGCAGGTGGGGGTAGGGTAAGGGTGGAAATAGGACAATAGAATCAGAAACAACAGAATTTCACAATTAAGTAGAAGTTTGAGGTGAGAGTAAGGAGTCAGATCTGTTTTTCAGGTAACTCAAGAATGGTATATGTCAAAAGAAAGTCTAGAAGAATATGGTTTGGTAGATAGGAAAAAGAGTGAGGCTTTTTTTTTT